GCCTATGCAATATTTTTTCTAGAAATTGTCTATGCTGTTTTAAACAGAAGAAATACATCTATTTTTTCCCTCACACAAACATTGTTGTGAAATGTTTGGTTATTCTTGACCTACAGAGTTGCAGCTATGATAACCATCAAGGTGGTGATCTGTGGTTGCCAACAAAGAGGTCACACTCACACTTACTTTCAACCAGTCGTTGCCACCACACAGCATGTTTTGCCAGTTGAGAGACTTATGCCCAAAGTATATAGGACATCCGCACACTCCGTCCGCGTGCAACCCATTTTTTTGGGACCACGCGGACAGTGCGGGTACAACAGTGCATTTGCGAGTGACTTGGGCGCTTGACACAAAATCCACTACATAGTGCGCACGCGCCGGACGCGTTTTTCCGCGCTCACGGCCAAATTACTACTTTGAAAGGCTCGAGCGCCACGCTCAAATCTGCGCGAGATGGCAGCGGAACCGAGCCTTACCCCTTATTTACACTGCACACGTCTGCGGCGCATTACGGCTCCGGCAAGGTTTTATTCCGTCCTTCACGCGGTGCCAACTCACACCAAGAGCATTTCAGAAGCGACTGGATGCGGGAGACCACGTGATTTGCCTGTCCGACGTGTTTTTTCTTGATTTTTGGGTTTCTACCTTACAGTCTATGGTTTCTACCAAGGATATATTGGTGTGCAATACAATTGGGATTCTGCACAGGGTATTTATTTTGAAATTGACAGTGTTTTTTTACTTTTGTTTTGTATTTACGGTGCGGCTTGGATGCCGCATCCGTCAAAAATAGACTGGGCGCCTATCTTTAGCGAAGCGGTGTGGAGAGCCGCTTCTGGGATTATTTGACCTGTTTGTCTGCCCCTGCTGGTTGATACCACAACTACACCAAAAGATCTTTCACCATCAATGAGTAAGGGGAGGCCGTCAAGGGGGTAATCCATCGACCGGAAGTTGAAGCCGGCCGGGTGCCGCCATCTTGTAGCAGAACTTCACTTGCGTTAGCATTTCCATTGACTCCCATTCATTTTGGCGTCACTTTGACAGCGAATAACTTTACATCTGAGGTGTTTAAAGACTCCATTTGTCCATTATTTATTTCTAAAGAAACACGACAATGTATGAAGGGCTCCATACCTTCTATGTTACATTATGGCCCCGTAGAAACAGTTTTTGTAAAAATAGGCTAACGATTGCGTCATAACCACTCGACTCTCTGTCGCGCTGTACAGAAATTACCGTACAGACAGGAGGAGAAGCTCGCAGGCAATCGGGGGGACGTCCCGTCAAGGGAGAAGCCCATAGATAATGAGTCCATAAAAGCAACGGAATACTTACTCCTGCTCACTCACGCCAAAGAACTCTTTGCTCAAGTTCCCCGTCTCTGCAAGATTAACGTTGGCAATTTTCACGCACAGCTACTAGAAGATTCACGTCTGTCAGACAGGTTGCTCACGTCATCAAGCTTAGTTTGAGTCAGTTTGAGTCTGCGCGTCAGGAACGGAAGTGCTCAAAAATCGCTAAAAATGGGCTTCAACTGTCTCAACTGAGTTCCAATGAGATGGCTCTGTCCTGTCCACTTCTTATACTGTCTATGGAGGCTGCAGACCTGGAGCCGGCAGATATACGCCCCTGGCAGTTTTACGCCCCTGACAGTTTTACGCCCCTGTTGTTCCTGACGCGTCCAGTAGGGGGAGGCTGTACAGCGACACGAATTGAGTTATGTTAGTAAATAATCTTCTTTCTTTTTTTTTAAATTAAGAAATGTATTTATTTTGTGTTGCAAATGAAAGGATACAAGACATTAACAGTGAGAAAGAGAAAAAAATAACAAAGGGGGACATCAAAAGAGATTGAGGCTACACAAATCAATACAATTTTACATTTTGTCAATATAAAAAATTAAAGGTTTACAACAGACTCAATGATATTATTTATTTTAGAAACCTTTGAGTTTAAAGGTTTTGACATTTTCTTAAAAGAAGAAAAAGGGGACTTTATATCAGAGGAGAATATTCTTAAATCAGGATCATTGAATGGTTCTGTCTTTATGAAGATGAATCTTGCCCAGAAGACAAAGTAATAATACCGTATAATCAAGATTTTTATCGTTAGAATGAAAATCTGACAAAAAATTATAGATTCTGTCATTTGTATGTTAAATAATCTGCTAAAGTTATTGTTGTTTAGCAATGATGCAACATTTAGCCTATTATTTATAAACGATTAGCTTGGTATAGGTAGCCTAGATATCAATTCATTTCTATATCAATGGATGGGTCTATAATTTATTTCGAAAGACAACAAGTTCTTGATGGTCAGGTTTATGTTCTATCTGGCTTAAACTTAGCTAACCACGTGTAGGTTTAGCTGCCCCTAGTCTTCTCACTTTAAAATTAATTTTCTTTTTAATTTTCTTTTGTTGCCTGTCTTTAGCTTGCGTGAGATGGCCTCTTCTGGTAAGACCCTGTTTACTCTTTACATTAAAACATACTCCACATGGTTTCTGGGGCAACATTACAGTAGATATTGGAAATATATTAACTTGCTTTTTTACAGTCTATGGTGTGAACACACAAAAGACACATTTATAATAGGCATATTGTATACATGTATGTAAATCTCAAGTAAAGAGTTGAACTGCACACTCACTCAAATATTTTGTTTATTTCCAACATCATTTCTTAAAATAGCTTACTGACTAAAATGTAGGGTATGTGCACTTAATGTGGGTTTTATCATACTCTGTCTTTACCAAATTCTTTTTAACTTGCATCTCATAAAGGTGTGTTTGCTTTAGCTATAAGAAAATGAAAATCGCTCTCTAAACTTAAACACCCATCTTTTTTTACGACTTACAAAATAAACTTACAGAGACATACATGGACGTGGTTTTAAAGTCCCCATGAATTCAAAATTGACCATACTTACTTTGTTTGCCTAAATTGATCGTTTTGTGGTGAACAATTCATCCATGCAAGTCAATCCACACAAAAAAATTTTTTGGCTTCGTAATCTTTAATCAAAATCTGAAATTTCCCCTCCCCTCTGCGTTGGAGGACCTTGCCTGATGACGTAGGTTTGACGGTTTGGGCGTCTTCTTAACATCCGTAACCACGCCCCTCCAACTGACAGTAGACAGGCTGAATGAAAACACCTACTTTTCTAGATCCAATCAGGTGCTAGTTGGGGAAAAAGCCACGCCCACCATTTTGCCTCATTTAGTATTCCGTTTCTCTCGGAAATACGTCACAACACTGGAGAAAAGTCGTTTGCAACTTCCGGTTCACGGGGACTTTAAAGTAATTTTCAATTTTCTCTGCACAGTCCATCATTGGTGGCCAAAAGAAATTAAAGTGGCTTGACACTTTTTTCACTATTGTTCCACCAACAAGTACATTGAAGATCAGGAGCAAATTGATGCAATCCACACACACCTGACATCAATTCTGCACACACACACACACACACACACACACACACACACGATAAAATCACCATGGATGTCCTTTTAAAAAATAGTTAAAGAAGAGGGGCAAACCATAGGGGAGTCATGGAATTTTAGAAAAGGGATAAATTGTGTTTGTCTTCATAAAATGCTGTGTAGGACACTGTTTTGTAGCTGTATGACGACCAATAGAGAATAGTACAGCTAATCAAGGATATGATTACACGGTACTGTATGTCTAATGGGCTAAATTTGGTTAATATCTAAATGTAACTATAAATTCACAACAACATATTTCACTCAGTCTTCCATATAACAACCTACGGTGAATAGGCCTATAACTGCAGTAGGTCATATACTTGTCATAACAGTTGATCCAATTGTGTATTTTTAAATGTTCAATTCACAAAAACACATAGGCTAGTCTTCTGTAGGCTGAGTGAAGAGAGTTAAGCCCAAGAATAGCTACAGACATTTTAATCCGTGCAGATCTACACTGTAACGTTTATATTTAAATTAACAAAACAAACAAAAAATGTCTATGGACGGGTCATTAATGTGTAAGAGTCGATTTAAATATGTTATTTCGCAGTATATCCCCCTACTGGACGCATCAGGAACAACAGGGGCGTAAAACTGCCAGGGGCGTATATCTGCCGGCTCCAGGTCTGCAGCCTCCCCATATAGCCATCAATGGCCATTAAAAATGTCTGATATTTCGCCATCTTTATTGTTACTTTGCTACATAGAAGCTTTTCATTTTAAATCCTGGCTGTAATCGTTGTAAATGAGACATTTTTTTATTTGAATTCCAACAAGGATATATAATTTTTTTTTTTATGTTTAGTTAATCCGTACAGTATTCTCATCATAAGTGCCGAAACCTAGAACAATTTCATTCATTTATTTCAATCATGACAACTCAGATTTAAACAGTATTGATAAGAATAGAATGCACATAGGCTTTCTTGGCGGACTAGATCTGCTGATAACGAGTTAAAGGGATAGTGAAAATTCTGTTATCATTTACTCACCCTCATGTCACCCAGTCTACGCAACTATTACTTTGACATGATTATATGTGAATAAAAGCCTTAATTCAATCTGTTCATCATATAAAGCGATTGTTTCTCCAGAAAATTTGGACTAAACCGCTCTATTCATATTTCACATTTTTGGTGAACTATCCCCTTAAGGCTTCTGCCGAAACATGCACTAAATACAGTGAATAGAATCCGAGCTGCTGCGAGGAAAGTAGGGAGAATCCCCTTGCAGATTTAAACAGGTGGTTCTGGGGAAGATGGAGGGCTGGGTAAATTCCCACGTTGAATTGGTTCGGAACAGAAATAAATAGGCTACATAGATTGAACAAACAGATTGATTGCCCAAAAGTGCTCGGCTGAAGACAAATCAGCCGCTTGTTAAAGTTTCAAGACTAAACTAATATATTTATTGAGAATATAGGCCAAATTTCATACTCTTCTTTATAGGCTTTCATGTTGATTAATTTGCATACTTCCAGACACGGATTAAAAAAAGTCACAAACTCTTTCAGTTTGAATCATAATGCTTTTATTAAAAGATTGCATACAGTGTGTAAATAGATCACATAGTGAGTGCTTAGATAAATGTTTCAGAGTTCACCAGCTCAATAAATAAACATGCATTTTGTATGCTATTGTGATGATTGATATTTCGCAGAGAAAAAATATGCAATGAAATTACAATCTATCATCTAGACGTCTTCAAAGAAAACATCCGTCATTGGCATAAATGTCCCTTGTATGTAAATTAAATATATTATCATATTTGTAAAATGGCTTCAAAATAGATTCATAAAAGTATTCAAAATAACAAAACTGTATTAAATGTTCCATATCTACACATTTTCTCCCCCTGGACTCAAATGTCCAGTTTTTGCATGGTCAGGTGTGGCTGTTGTACAGGTATGTGCTGCTCAGGCTCCAGTCTGGAGGGAAGTCCTGCGTGGGGTGGTTCTTCAGGTGTTTCTGCATGGCTGCCAGACTGCTACAAAACTCCAGGCACAGGGTGCACTGGTACGGTGTGGCGCCGCCGTGAGTGCGCAGGTGCTTGATCATAGCCGAATAGTCACGGGAACGTTGGCCGCACAGCCGACACTCAAATGGTTTTTCACCTGGAAGAACAGAAAATAAAAACGAATTCAAAATATAAAAGGTTATAATAGTATCTCAATGCTACTAAAACAACACTGATTCAGATTAAAGATCTAATCTTGATACAGTGAAACATGATGTTTGATTTTCTCAGAAAGTGAGGATGTTCAGGATCAATAGAAAGCTCCAGGTTGGAGCTCAAACTCTGCAGGAAGGCTCTGCTCATGGGTTTAAACGCCGGTTGTACCTGTGTGGACCCGGTGGTGAGTGTCCAGCTGGTGTTTAAGGCTGAACCTCTTGCTACACTGTTTGCACTGGTAAGGCTTCTCTCCCCCGACACCCCTCCTGAGCGAGCGCAGAGATCGCCTGTCCCGTCCACCTCGGCCACAGAACTTACACCTGAACGTCATCTCAACCGAACCTGCCAACGGGGTGATGACAGAACAACAGTAGGTGAGTAACCGTGAACAAGTGAGCTAGAAATGGAACACTTCTCTGTTATCAGTGGACAATCTTTTTAATGCAGTTTCATTTCAGAAGAAAACCACAGACTAAGGTTTGGACAGTCATATGTGGCTCAGTTTAGATATCTTCAAAGTCTATTTACCCGTTTATGCATTAAATATGTTTTTTATTTTGCATGAATGCAGATTCATGTTTTTAAATTCATTTTAGCACTTAATCAAAACCTAAACATTGAAAGATTACGTTCATAAGTTTTTTTTAAATGTTTTTGAAAGAAGTCTCTTATCCTCACCAGGGCTGCATTTAGTTTTCTCAAAGTTTATTTTGCACTCAAAGTTTGCATTTATTTGATCAAACACAGTTAAAACAGTAATATTGTAAAATATTATTACAATTTATTCCTGTGATGTTAAAGCTGAATTTTCAGCATCTCCAGTCTTCAGGGTCACATGATCCTTCAGAAATCATTCTAATATTTTTATTTGATGCTCAAGAAACATTTCTTCCTATTATTATTTGCAATGTTGAAAACCGTTACTGTTTTTTTTTTTTTTTTTTTTTTTTTATTGTGACTTTTTTTCCCCAGGATTGTTTGATTTAATAGAAAGTTCAAAAGAACAACATTTATTTGAATGATAGATTTATTTGAAGTCTTTTGTAACATTGTAAATGTCTTTACTATCACTTCTGATCAATTTAAGGCATCCTTGCTGAATAAAAGTATTATTTCTTTCAAAACAAACAAGCAAAAATCAGACTGACCCCAAACTTTTGAATGGTAGTGTAGGTTTTCATTTCGGATATATGCCTGTTGTCTTTGCATGTTCTTTTAAGACAGAAAGAGTGACCATTCGACTAAAACTCTCAACACATATCATCATGGTCTCTGAGGCAAAAACAGTTTCAGTGCTTGACGAGAAAGCAGGGTTATTTTTGGTCTGATGCTGGTCAACTCTTTGGCCCCTATATATCTGCTCATATCTGCTCAAATATGTTTAAATTTGATGTGCTGCTGCTGATGATTGTTCCATCCTGCTAAAACACCAGTTAACCACGCGTGAAAGTGAAAGGAGACTAAATATAAAAATAATGGTAACACGTTAAAATAAGGTTCCATTTGTTATAATTACACTACATTAGTTCAAATGAACAAACAATGAAAAATACTTCTAAAGCATTTGATAATAATGTTAATTTCAACATTTACTAATACATTATTCAAATCAAAAGTTGTATCTGTTAATATTATTTAATTGGCTTGAGCTAACATGAACTATTTTTATTTATTAACTAACATTAACAAAGATTAATAATTGTTAATGTTAGTTAAAACATAAAAAAATCACCTAAAACATTTATAATAATATAAAATACCAACGTCTGCATCTATATCGCATTTTTAATACAAACAATCCCATTTTAAATTATATTATCACAGCAATTTGAGTGAGCTGAATTTCACACTTTTAGACATTTATCAATTAGACATTATTTTCTTTTTATTATAAATGTTTTTTAGGTGCATTTTTTTGTTTTCTGTAATCATAAATCTTTCTCTTAATTTCCATGTTTAAATAAACCTATGAGGACCTTGCTATATATAATAGCTGTTGCTAATATGCTTACACAGTTAAAGAAAATAAAAAGTAAATAGTATTGACTGTACAAATGATGACTGAGACATAACAATATCTCGACTTGACTAAATGTTTTTTTGTGTATATTTTTAATTAAAGTCAGACACAAAAACATGACACTGCTTGTTAAGGAATCTTCATCGGAAAGAAACCACAACAAGAATTTAAATTCTAGATGTTAAATATCCAGTTCTGTTCAAATAATAAACCAATCTTATGTTTATTTTATATCAAATGTAAAAACGTCAAGATTAAAAGTGATTTATGGTCAAAAATAAAGTGACATCTAAGCTCTGGTAGTGCGCAGCCGAGGGGCCCAATTTTAGATAAACACATCCTGTGGCAACTTGGTGTGCGGCCTAGTTTATAGCTCTCCCTGTCCACACACACACATATATACATTCACACACCACATCCTCCCCTGTACAGCTCAAAGTGTGAAAAAAAAGCCTGGTTAACACTTTCTGCCTTTATATTTGATGAGAGCGTTTATGACAATCATATGGACACTTGCAAGGTTGTGTAAGCTTACACTTCAGAGCATGCTGAAAAAAAAAAGCTGTGGCGAGCAGGACGAGGTCGAGGGACGTGAGAGATACGAGACTGGTGCGTCTTCACCATTAATCATGCCACCAGCCTTGCGCCGTTCTCTCAGGTCCCTCGACCTCGTCCTGCTCGCCACATAAGCAAACACAGAAGTCATGTGAAACTAAAGCAAACATACGTGCACATGACAGGCATTGTATTCACACATATAAACACCCACACATTCCCACATACCCCACACTCTGTCACACAACACTAAACCAGGATGCAGCACGGTAACATAAAACTGCTGCAGAAACTTGCGCCATTACAGCACCAGTTTGCTGTTTGAATAGGTGACATCGTACAATGTGCCCAACCATTCTTAAAACGGCCGGCTAAAATTATCGAATGCATTTTAATTAAACCAAAACCCATCAGGACACTTTTGAAACTGTGCAGCTGGTACCATAAAATGACTTGAGTTGGCGTAACCAAATGTTGCCAGGTTGAAAGAGTCGTATGAAGAACGTTTTTAGGTTGTGTGACAAATATTTTCATTGAGGTTCATGGAAGAAAATCTTATATTTCAGAACTTATTGCATAGGTTGTTGACATGCTTTTATTCTAAAATTACTTTAATAATTAGTATACATGCAATTGAGAATAAATAAGAGACTACATTAGAATATGATAAAAAAATCCACAGTAGAATTTCAGTTAATTGCAAAAAAGCTACAATGTGTAAAAAAGCTGCATTCCCTAAAATATACACTTCACCTTTTAAATCATAGAAATATGCATTTATATTTGTTTTAAACCTAAAACTACCCACATCTGTGATAAACTAAATACAGTATAGATTACATAAAGATAACATCTCATAAAAATGTGTTACTATCATTCTCACCCCAAAATGATCCGACGTGAACACAAGCTCGACACATAAAAAGCGCTCTAACCCCAAATTGGATGAAAAAAGAACAAGTCGACACTTCTCTTTTGGTACTGTATTCAAACCACCATGGAGCACAGAGCCAATCAACCGCAGGACTGTGCTGATGCACCACGAGAAGCCACAGTTGTCTCTCGCACACAGCTTTACACCCCAGTTTAGAAGGTATGGGGTCGTTTGGTTCTGTACAATGATAAAACCCTATGTGACCTAGGACAAAGCACAACCAACATTGTGACTACACAATGACGCCTAAAAAGTATTTGGACACTTAAGTAACTTACAATGCATGAATGTCATTGCATTAGATGCCAAGCTGCATCTGAAAACAAATGCTGCAGGAGTGTTTCTCAGAAATAACTTTTCATTTCATGAACATTTAACCAACAGGTGTCAATGTGATTTTTTTTTTTTATCTGATGCTTGAAGTATTTCCCTTCAAGTTCACACATTTTTCCTAGCAGATTAACCACAGATGTATTGCACAGCTACATTGCATTAATGTCTGATAACCAGAAAAAAAAACTGAATCTCTAAATACTGTATCAATTTGAAAAAATGTATAAATAAATGCATTATAATTAAAACAAATTATAAAAGCTTATTAATTGCATTGTTGGGGAAAGTTACTTTTAAAAGTAATGTGTTACAGTATTACGTTACTCCCTAAAAAAGTAACTAATTGTTACTTAGTTACTTTATGTAAAGTAATGCGTTATGTTACTTTTGCTTTACTTTTTCTCGGCTGGGCTTGCTTGTTTGTTTTTAATGACACAAATAAAAAAAGGTTTATTAGAAAAAATTATTTAAAAAAAAAGGTTACGTTTTATTTTTGGCAAATTTAAAAGTCCTTTCACACCAAAAATGTCAGGCTGATGCAAATGCAAATTTACGCCTGTCCAGTAGAGGGCGCAGCTCAAAAAAAACTTTCAGCTGTGCTGCGATTCTGGATTGCAGGAGAATGGGATGCAGAAAAAAGTTCAACTCTCTTACTCGAGCAATAAAAAAAGAAATGATTGAATAATTAAAAAGAAACAAATGTGACTGTGGAGAGGGGGGTGTAGTAAAGCAGAGTCTGCACGGGGAGAGAGAGCGAAGACGAGTTGTCGAAGTGCATGATGATTAACACCTGTCTCTAATTCCAGTAACCGACAGAGAGACAGGATAAATAGAGCCTGCAGACTCTGAGGACATGTTTTATGTGTTGGAAATCTTTGTTACTGTATATTGAATGTGCAAGAGCGCTTTTATTTATGAACATTGTTACAGTGGTGCCGAAGCCCGGGGCGAAGAAGTGTGCACGCCGCCATGCAGCCAGAACAAATACCACTTGCGGAGCTGGTCAAATCGCTCGCCGGTCTCCACCAGGCCCTTATGGACCTCAGACTGGAGCAGGAGGATCGATTCCGTCTGCTGTACCAGGGGCAGGAGGAGGACCGGCGGGTCATCCGGAGCTTGCTTGGCCGGGAGGTCACCCCGGATGCAGCCTCCACCATCTCCCACATACCTCTGATTAAAACGACTCGGAGGCATTTGTGGACCTGTTTGAGAAGAAAGCGGAGGAGGCAGGTGCGCCTGGTTCAGCTGCTGTCCGGGTAAGCACAGGTAGCAGCACAACAGTTGCCTGTGGCGAACCTCCTGCCATATGGCGGCCTCAAGCGATGTGAGAAAAAAGTTCTTGAAGAATCCATTGTTTCATCACTATGTTAATTTTATGAATGATTTAATCACTAAGGGCTATGCAGTGAAGGTAACAAACCTTAGCCGTAATGATGGAAAGGTATGGTACCTCCGCCGAACAACACCGCCAGCGTGTCCGGTTAGTGGAGCTGGGTGATTGCAGCCGGCCAAGTGGCTGATGGCCCAGCCCCGCGACGTCAAGGAAGTAATCGACCTGGTGGTGCTGGAGCAGTTCATCGCTTGTCTGCCGCGCAGGACTGCCGAGTGGGTCCAGTGCCACCACCCGACGTCACTGAACGTGGCCATCCAGCTGCCCGAGGATCATATGGCGGCATGCACAGGGGGCGCGGCGAGCCCCTCCCTAATGTTTCTCTCTCCAGCCCTTATCTCTTTTTCTTCTCTCTCTCGTCCCGTCCCGTCCCTATTCCCAGGTCGGGGAGCAATGCGCCCCCTCGACAGCCACAGCAGGGAAGAGGCAGTCTGGCCTCTGAGGTTTACCAGGGTTACGGACCTTGGACACAAGGGGACGTGTCCGAGAGTGCCGGAGCCTCCATGTCTTTTTCACCTCTCCCCTCTCTCTGTCAGTCTCTTGGCCAACTTTCTGGCGGTGGGGCGGTGGGAAGGCCTGGGCCTGTCTGCTGGAGATGCAGGGACCCAGGTCATTTCCAGGATAGGTGTCCAATCATGGACTCCCCGCAGGCTTAAACACATCTGCATCTCAGCATCTGGAGCAACTGCGCACTGTCCTGAGATCGATGAGGGTGGCGGGAGTCACAGCGAACCCAAAGAAGTGTGAAATTGGGAGTGTGGAGGTACATTATCTGGGCTTCCACTTGGGACATGGGCAGGTGCGTCACCAAATTTATAAGACTGACGCGATTGCAGCCTGCCCAAATCCCAAGACCAAAAAGGAGTCGAGACAGTTCAAGGGGCTGGTGGAATATTATAGAAGGTTTGTACCTAATTATTCGGAGCTCACAGCCCGCTGACTGATCTTACTAAAAAGAAAGCTCCAAATCCGGTCCAGTGGATGGAGCTGTGCCAAGAGGCTGTAACGAAAGTGACAGCTGCTCTGTGTGACGGGCCGCTCTTACAGTCTCCTAACTTTGATCTCCCCTTTTTATTGCAGCAGATGCGTCGGACAGGAGGCTGGGAACCGTCCTGTCCCAGGTGGTCGGAGAAGAGGAACGGCCGGTGCTGAAATAACTTCCAGTAAGTGAAAATCCTGCATAGTGCACCTTTAATCTCTTCTCTTTTCTGATGACATGTTTACTGGAGCAAGGGCGGGAAAACCCGTCACTCAAGTAAGATCGGCCAATAGCAAACCACAACCATCTAACAATATATCGCAACTTCTGCTTCAGGCCACTGTATGTGTTCTACAAAGTCACTATAGCATTTTAACTAATCTATAATGCTAGATGCTAGCATTTATTTACATTTATGCATCTGGCAGACACTTTTGTCCAAAGTGACTTGCATTACATCACAATTTATCAGTCATGCATACATTTTTTTTAAATTGAGATTATAAATAATAATAATGCTGCAAAATAAAGCTGAACAAATACGCTTTCCATTGATGTATGATTTGTTAGTATAGGACAATAATATTTAGGCGAGATACAACTATTTGATAGTCTGGAATCTGAGGGTGCAAAAAAATCGAAACATTGAGAAAATCACCTTTAATCAAGTTGTCCATTTATGTTCTTGATTGTGCTGCATTCACTCACAAAAATAAATGTTTTATATATTTACGGTAACAAATGTACAAAATATCTTCATAGAACATGACCTTTACTTAATATCCTAATAATTTTTAGCATAAAAGAAAAATAAGATTTAAAGATTTAAAAAAATAACAAACTTTGCATTTCAACTCTGCTCTACCTTGTTTCATAGTCTAGCTTTCCACTCTTAGAATAAAATGTTCTATATACAACCCTAAGGGTTCCTGACTTAATTTTAAAGATGGCTTTATACCAATAAATGTTTTAAATGATTGCATAATACTTTCATGTTTTAAAGGTTATTAAAATTTGTGTAGTGAAAAAAGTATGTTTATGATCCGTTTAATTCAACTAAAAAATGAATTAAAACAAAAATAATTCATACAAAAATAATTCATTAAAACTAAATGCATAAAATGATCCTATGATGGGACCCTCTAAAAGGTTCTATATACAGTATGAAGTGCCTGATAGAACACTTTAAGGTTCTATATTGAACATTTTCTTCTAAGAGTAGATAAACCTGGCATTGACTATAAATATTGTTAGCCTTTTGACGAATAGCATCAGATAGCATTAGATAAAAGCATCTGCTAAATTCATAATTGTACATGTAAATGTAAAATAAAAACCATTTAATGGTAAATTATGGCTGAAAGATTTCACAGGTATGATAGATGCATGAATTTTACATTTCAAAAAACGTTGTCATTTTTTCCACTGTCTTCTATCCTTTCTTTTACTGCTGTCAGAGGAAGGGAGGCAACGGCCACCATCTCTACTTTAAATTGCTTTCAACTCTTTGAGAGATACACAACATTTACATCCTGTTGCGGGCATCCATTCCTCTGAACTACGTACAACGTCAATGCATCCAAGGCAAATTCAAAATCAGTTTGTGTTTCTGTAAGCTTCTGCATGAGTATCTATGCCTTCTTTATTCTGTCCATATACAACTGTATACAATTATTCCAGAATCATTTTTGTGCATTTACACCACATATTACCTGAGGTTGATGACCCAGTGGTTGGCCTCCAGGGGTTTTCCAGGGCCGGCTTACCGCAGTGTCTGCAGCATATCTCCCTCTCCTCTTGAACCTTTGGCTTCCTGTGGAAAATGTTGTCATTTTAACGCTTATTCAAAGATGTCCATATTTTCCATGCATAACTAGTGACATTAGCTTTTAGAACTTTATTCATCATCAACGTATAACATCAAAAACTGAGTCACTGCATTTTCCTCTGGTGTTTTTTTTTTTGAACCACTTGTTGATCTGGTCAGCTAACACCTGCGGATTCAGTTGCACTTCTAGAGATGCATTTCGACACATTCAAGTGCTTTAGCTAGACCACAGCTAATTATGACCAGCAGGTATGGTCAGTGAGAAACCCACAAGCTTTCAGGTGTTACTGCTGATGCTCTCTGTTAGGTTTAGTGTGTTATCACATCTGTGCTATTATTTAGGAGAAAGTGCACAACCAGTTAAAAGGTTTTAAAAGACACTTGCCTGAATTTGTTGCACATGCTCTTAACAAACTTTTGATCTAAATGCTGTGAGCAGTTCCTTAGACAAATATAAATATGCCTAGGTATGACTTTCTTTACTACTTTATTTGTCCTTTTTAATCAAGTAAAGTGCCATCTTAAATGTATATTCCTTCAAGGCTTTAAAAAGCATCTCAGGATGCAGCTGATGAAGTATAAAAATAATAAGAAATGAGTGAAGAATACGAAGAGGAAATTTATGAACAAAACTCGATATACAGCGCTCTGTAGCCTCACATATGTAGACACACAAGGCGGCAATTTGCCATTCAAATGCATCTCAAATCTGTTTAATCAAACGATTAAGAAGATCAATTTAGACTTACATCACCTCCTTCTGTCTAAAACAAGACCAAAAAGTGTAAGAACAAAGGTTTTGCGTACAGGTAGCAGGAAACATAGCAAGCCGACAACGGTTTCCTCTGCCAGAGTAAAGCAACCTGCAGCGCATCTACAGTGTGAAGAAAAGATCATCCGATTTTATATCCGATTCAAATATTTACAGCCAAAATAATAATAATAATAATATGCTCTTCAAAATATAAGTAGTGACCCTATTACCTTACGTTTGAAAGGCCTTCGGATATTTACATTATTTTGGATGTTTAATCATGAAACCTAGTGAGCTGGTGAGTGGGTGGTTTGTACTGTTTCTATGTATGTGCATGCAAAAAAAAAAAGTTTCAATTTTACACTCACATTGAGCAAAACAAGCACAAAGATCTCTGTCTGAATGGGGCACCTGTTTTTGTGTGTGGAGTGGAACAGACTTTGGCTAAAAATGAGCCTGAAATAGAGCATCATGCTCTGAGGGTGGCTTTCATATTTGCTGTTTGTAAAGTTGGGGATAATTGGGGGGCTCCCCTCAGTTTCAGCCTTGATAGTAAGTGTTGTTTTCCAAAACACTCCCCCGACATATCCAGTATTTAGGGCACATGATGCGTATGTGCTTTCATCATGGCTCAAACACTTAAAATATCGACAAACAGATCTTTATGACCACAAGCATATACATCATACATGTCTAATTACAAATAAAAGTAATCATAACAATATGTATTATTCATACTCCAAAGTGTTTCATTACAATAATGTATCATATCATAACACTATCCATAATTGTCTTTATTGAACTATTATTCCAGTGCCACTGAACCAGAGGCCGTTATTAGTTCCCCTCAGTTTAATGGAGTCTGTTGAAAGACTATTCATGTAGGTGGAACAGGGGGCTGGGTTGGGGAAAAAGTGTCTGTTGGAAAGTACAGAAAGTTTGTTTCTCAACTTAACTAAGACATGTTATAGAATACTGTTTTTGATGTATACAATGCAAATAAATCAATTTTTGATAATTATTTTATCTAAAAAGATGGTTGGAGTGGACGGTGAAGAAAAAAAGCGTGCATGTGAACTTCAATATGGTTTAAAAACTCAAATACTTAGAGTTTTATAAATTTTTTATAAACATAATTTAGAATTTTGTAGTTAACAATCAGGATAAAAGTCGATTTCGAGCAATCGTGGTCTTCTTCAGTATAGTATTGCATGGTAGTAAACCAGTCCTTTTTTAAAAGTAATGCAAGGTCGGATTTTGTGGTGTTTGCTTTGGTTATGACTGTAAATGTGTTGTTGCATTGGTGAAAAACGTGTTTACCAGGCTTATGGTGTTCCGCTGAAATTAACTGACTATAATGTGGCTTCCTGCTGAAAATATCACTATATATATATATATATATATATATATATATATATATATATATATATATATATTTCTTTCACCATGCTATCAATACCAAGATGTCTCATAACCCTGGACTTCTCCCTGAAAAAGGACTATGGACACTGGGCTGCTGAAGGTCAAAGTTTAAATTAGTTTCTTAATGTTTAAATGTTATTGAATTTTTAATGCACAGACAGCCCAAAAGTATTTGAACTGAGGTCACTTTCTTCTACGAAATATATATGGAAGGATGTTGGTATCCAAACAGTTTCCATTGTATGGACAAAAAGATTATCAAAAAATAATATATATAGCCGCGTTTCCATTACAGATTTGCGCAAAACTTTTGCGTTTTTTTCTAAATATCGATAAAAAACTATTGCGATATGACGGCGTTTCCATTAACCGATGTTATGCGACTTTGGACGTTTGTAGGTTTAACACATGTGAATAGACGTGCAGCCACCGCACAAGACATTATTATTATTAATGGAAGGAGACGTGGTGTGTTATCCAAGCATTAATGGTAAGGAAAGACCCTAATACTGTGAACGGCACATGAGGTGTTTTTGTGTGTTTCTCCCTCATTTCTGCTCCAAGGTCTTGATTGTGGCATTTCTTTGAGGTTTAGAATCCAGTATTCCTGCAATTCTTTTTTCTTTTATGAATTTAATAAAGAACTTTGTCTCGTATTCTGTCCAAACGGTCCGTGTACTTTTGCGTCCATTTATTTTTCCTTTTTTAACCTGTAGCCTAATTGAAAAACGAAAAATGAACGGTTGTTGTATTTTTAAAGCGCAAAGTTGAACAACAAATTTTCAATTTGAACTGTAGCCTACTACACACCAATGCTGCGCAAAAAAATAAATATAGACGAATTTTCAGATTTTTGTTTATGACTTTTTGCCCCTTTATTAAACATTTAAAATATTCACAAATTAATATGAAAAAAATGTTGATTTTACTGGTTTTCTAAGGCCAAATTAGAACCCGATGATATTTTTCCCGCAGTGCTGAATAAGAAGAGCCATGTCTCTGGAACCATAGGTGATTTATAGGTGATTCTAGGCTAATGATAATAAATGTGTCTGAAAAAATAACGAGGCATTTTAATTGTTTATTAATAAACTATAGTGTTAGTGCCGACTGCAAACATATTTTCATCTCCACTGTAAAGCGGATGGGATGCGCCTTTAGAGAGAAATGCACCTTTCATATGGATTACATAATCAGAAGGTATTTGCTTTCGATTTGAATTTGTTCGTTCAAGCTTTAGCCTATAGGCTATATTTTGTTTCAGTTAATTTCTGAGACATGTTCCAGTTCACGGAGATCATGAAAGCGCGCCTGATTTATTTTGCAAAAGAAGAACGTTTTCTTGTTATTGTGAGTTTACACAAATAAAAGTAGTTGCGGATTATGTATTATTATTTTCTGTATGACCATAAATGATAGAGTATTTTAAGTTGTTTCCACTGTTGACAGGAAAATGCAAGTGTTCGCGCCCGCGCCTCCGTCATCCAGTGCGCGCTCCACAAACCCTTTGGATATACGTCAAAATCTTGTTTATTTGTGATAATCTTAGCCCTGTATTATTATTGTCTAACCTGTATTATGAATGACATTTGACGAATTGCTTTGTTCCTTTTTTGGATAAAAGCGCCTTCTAAATATGTAGCCTAATAAATGTAGCCTAATAAATGTAATAGGCTATAATAATAATAATAATTATTATTATTTGCGTTTATAACTATAAATGACTTCACTTAAGACAGTAATATATTTATCATAAAATAATTGATGAATGTATTATTTTTATATAACCTTTTACAGTTTTGGAAAATGAGTTTGTGTTATATTTCTTTTTTTGTATGAGAAGTCTTTTTTTGCTATTCTATTATAGCCTATGACCCCCCCCCCCAAAAAAAAAAAAAAGGACTTTAAAGATACAAGTACCGGGCTAAATTTCGTTTTTTTAGAAAATTCAAGAAATTACAAAGAACTGATATTTACAAATCTGAGAGCGCGGATTAGGATATCGTGGGTATAGGCCTACAGTTTATTAATCCGTGGGCACGATTTGTTAAACCGATCGAGGGAACAGTTTGTACTCAACCGTGAATAGGCCTGCGGTTTATAAACTTGAGGGGACGGATTGAAAAACCGTCGCCACAGATTTTTTTTCATTTAGGCAATTTTATTTTTTCACAGACGCTCCATATCTAAATGTTCCGTGTCAAAATGAAATGCAGAAATCAAATTTCGCAAAGTTGTAGGCCTATGTCAGTTAGGCCTATTTGATTTTCAATTAAATAAGCAATAGGCTATATAAGGAAAATAAGTTTGTATGTGAATATCTTTTCACCAGTCTAAAAACTAATAAAGAAAGCATCTTTTTCGTTTTCATACGAGTTAAAGGAAAAACGAATGGACGCAATAGCCTACACGGACCCCAAACACACGCGCCTTCTAAGTCAGGTGACTGTAATTGCGCAAAAACTGTTTCCATTGCAGTTTTGCGAAATATTCCTTTTTCGAATTGCCTTAAAAACCACCTCATGCGAGCGTAAAAACTTTTTTGCGATAAATGGGAGTTTTTGCGAAATTGACATGTTTCCATTGAGCGTATTTTTAATTCGCAATTTCAATTTGCGCAATTTGAAGGGTAATGGAAACGCGGCTTATGATGTTCCACAGAAAAAAGAAAGAAAGAAAAGAAAGTCATACAGGTGTAGAATTACATGAGGGTGAATAAATGATGACAGAATTTACCCAGCTTTGGGTAAACTTTCCCTTTGAGCCACCCGTTAAACATGCATCATTGCATTAGATAGCAAGCATCATTGCATTAGATAGCAAGCATCTTAATGTGATCAATATCTATTGTTTACCATTTAAAACCAAAAGTTTTTGTTTTTGCTTGAAAAATGTGTACATTGAAATTTATTGATAATTAGGCACGAGTGATAAGTTCAAATGGTAAGATTGCGTTTGTTTAAACCATCTTTCTCTCTTATTAATGTCAAAAATGCTAAACAAACTCATTTTATTTATTGGATTTAATTTATTTATCGGTTTATTCATTGATTGAATCATTCATCAATTTCTATAAGTATCTGGCTTTGTTAAAAAAAAAAAAGATAATTAATATAAGCAAAAAAACAATCAAGCAAAAAATCACTATCAATATGACAATTTAAAAATAAATAAAAATAAATCTAGTTTACCTCAAATAGCTATCCATGCTATCCGTAGCTATTCTTGTTCACTTGTCTTTCTTTAAAATCAGTTTCACATGGTTGGATATTTGATCAAATCAATAACATTTTTAAGTGTCGTTTCAGACAGTCGTTTCTTACCTCTCTTGACTTTCTGACACGGACTCTGTTAAAGCTGCACTGATAGAGGTGTTCTTTCCTTTTAGACCCGAAACGAAGGGACTGTCTTGAGTCATCTGAGAAGAGTGTATGAGAGGGTGATAGGGGTGAAGCAACCCGGGATAACCCATAAGTGAGGAAGGGACATGTGGTTGGAGCGTGCGGTGCAGGAGGGGGTACATGGGTGTGGGGTACGGGTACGCTCGGAGCGAGTGGAAGGTCATAATTTCTCTACAGTTTAACACCATGCCATGAGACGGGCTGACTGGGGGCCAACACAAGCGAGGGGTCGAAGATGGGGTGCTGGAGGAGATGATGGGTTCTCTGGAGAACATGGGAGGCTGAGGAGACACAGGAGAACAGCTTTTCTTGTGTGGATCATTGACCGACCTCTTGTGGTCTTTATTGGTGGAAGAATGTTCTTTTTTTAAAGAACAATCGAGGTTGTCTTTATCCTTAGAGCGGCTTCTTTTGGACAACTCGGTGTGCTTGAATGTTTTGTCTTCTTGGAGTGACTTTACCTCTTTTGTGTCTGTCTTTGTAGGGGAATTTGGACTACTAAGTAGTGCTTGACACTGTTCCACCAAAGACTCCACTTCCAGGTACTCTGCACCCCTCAGCAGCTCTTCTAGGTCATCTTTGGGCACCTGCACCGATTCGCTGTACACATAGTCCAAGATTTGCTTAAGTGTGTGGGGAGAGACGCTTTCTATAGCGCAGCTGTACCCCGGACCTGGACCGCGCTGGTTTGTTAACTGCCGCTTGAGCCGCTTGCTCGCCAGCGCTAGGATCAGAGCATGGGCTTTAAATGAAAGGCCTTCCGCGGTGAGAAGCGTGTCACAAAGGGTCCCTGCCTGACGGAGCTGCTCCGTCTGATGCAGAAAAGGCACGTGGTGAGGGTTATGAATGCGGATCATCTTCAAAGAGCGAAAGGGGCAGCTGAGGTGAGATGATCGGGTTTGATGTCGAGCTGCGAAATCTCATGTCAGCCTTTGGAAGGGGGAAAAAAAACAGTGTTTAAGTTTGTCAAAGGAATCGTAGTCGACGTGTGAGAGAGAGACAGACAAAAGGTTCTCAGATACAAATCTTAAAATAATCTCTCATGAAATGAAAATGATCACAAATCAGTAATTATATAAATTGCATATTTGTTGTTGTATACAACAAAATATGCTACATTATTAGAAAATAATTCAAATGCTAATGTTATAAACTTGTGTGCTGCCATCTTGACCGGGTCTCTCTGGAAGATGAGATGGCAATATCTTAATGGGATTTTCCTGGCTAAATAAAAAAATAAATAAAACTATGTCACAAATAGTAATAATTTAAAAATGATTTAAAAACACTGAAAAATATTTCAAATAAAAAATGACATTTTCTATTGATAATGAGATTTATTATTTTATTTTTAAAACCCATCTCTCTCTCTGATGCAAACTCAATTTATTTATTGGCTTTTAGTTATTTATACATGTATTTATTGACTTGTCAGGTTGACTGGATTTTGAAGAAATAGATCATTGATAGTCCAAATCAAGCCCCGAAAAAAAAAAAAAAAAAAATTACCCATTTTTTTAATCTAGTTTCCTCAAAATCAAATGAACTGTTTTTGTCATAGCTATTCTTGTCCGTTCATTTGAGGGCACGTGGTAGAGTGTACAAATCATATCAATCTCTAGACATTCAACAGTCATGTATAAGACAAGAAGATAGTTTAATCCTAACCAGTATCATTGCCATTTTACAAGCACCCAAGGATTAAACAATCTTTCATAGTTAAGGTTTACAGACAGACAGACCGAAAGAAAGAGTGAAACATAGATAAGCCCGAAGCTTGAAACTTTGCATTTCACTTAATTTCAGCGATTGTGAAAGACATATTCAGAAGAATCAGTAGGTTTTTTTTTTTTTCGGAACTCATCAGCGTCACAACACCTTCAACCTACTTTCAGCCATCAGGCAGACAAACTAATTCACAAAATGAAACTCTAGCAATGTTTAATCATTTCTATCTCACAATACATTCAACCATGAACTGGAATTGCATTGTCTAGGTATGGCAAAGAGCGGAGGCGGGCATGTTTGGTCATGTCAAGGTGCAAGGGCCTTTCGAATTTTGCATCACCTTTGAAATTCTGTTGTGAAGCACTGCGATGAAGCCACAGACCTCTTCAGAATGTGAAACTCTGACTAATGCCGGTACGCTGAGACTCGTAAGAGTTCAAGTTTGTTTGATCAACAACAACAGTATCAAAGCCATACAGTAGGTCGGTTTAGATATGCATCTACTGTAGTAGCAGTGTGATGTGGTGTCTGGTGGAACGTTTGATTACAGTAGGCCTACATCGCAGCTGTGTACTAATTCCTCACAATCGCGCAGAAAGTGGACACGATTTCAATACTCGATCTTGAAGTGCGGGCAAAGAATGACTCTCCAAATAACACGTCCATTCTGGGATTAAAAAAAAAAGGCTGTTTTTAGATACTATCATTGAGATGTACCATCTTCGAGATGCAAGTATCTCAATCGGCGATATTCCTATGACCCATTGTCTGTTTTTGGTCATCGATCTCCCAATTGCGTACAAAGAAAGTAAGATTACCGAATGCCTGCAAAAACTTGCTGATACGATCACTCCCCCTCAGCGCAGACGCGGTGACGGATTGTGGAACATATTGTTCTGAGATGACGGTGCTCAATGTTCTAATTACTAGAATTGATGCTAAACTGGCTAAAAGTGAGACACGCACACACACACCACATTGCATGAAAGAACAACCGAAACAACCTTAACATTAATATTGTAAAACATTTATCAAACAGGTGTGTGCAGATAGTTCTTTTTCATAACTGTCCAAATAACTGATGGGAGTTTACGCACTCAAAATGCGTGTTCTTATCGATGAGGTGTTCTTGAACAAAGTTAGCCTATTTAAAGCGATAGTTCACCCAAAAATGACAATTGTCATCATTTACTTACTCTCAAGTCGACCCAAACCTGTATGACTTGTTTTCTTCGGCAGAACACAAAAGAGCATCGTTAAAAAACATTGGTGTCTAAACAACACATTGAATTTTCAAATCACAGAGACATCGTTTGGGATGACAAACAAGTGTGAGTAAATGACTACAGATTTTTTTCGGTGAACGGTACCTTTGACAGAGAATATACTCGGCTAAAAACAGAAAATACTTCTATGGTCCTTTGCAACTTTATTTGTAGCATTAGGTTGGGTGTGTATCTGTTTTTTTTTTCAAGTATGAGTCACATTTTAAGCTACAATATTAATAGTCTAGTGTGTTGTAATATAAGTGAGTCATATTATTGTACTAAAGCTACACTATAAATGCAGCGTACAGTATGTCGTAATTAGTGTTTAAACATGCAAAAATGAATATCAAATAGCCAAAAGCTACTAAGTTTTTGCTTTTCATAAGTCACAAAAAAACGTATAATCCAAGCCGATTTGGCAAAAATGATCTAGTTATGTACTGTATGTAAAGCATATGGAATATGCTAAGCATATTCTACATTTTAAATCTAAAATAGTCAAATAAACATGAACCGTTTCATGCATTACTGAATTTACTGTATATTCTACAACTACCGTGATCACATGCAACTGAGAGGTGCAGAAAGTTGTTTCTATGTTTATGACCATAGTACAATTAGTAATGCTAAAATGAAATGCATATGGAAACACCAAGAACTTATTTTGCTTTCTTAAGGTTTTTCTAAATTATTTCTAAGACCAATTTGTTTTACATTTTTATGCTCAGCTATAACACGCTAAACAAAGAGCATCACATACCTCACCAGTTCCTATTCTTTCTTCGCCACTTCTAAAGACCTAGTGCAGTTGAATTCTCATTTGAGTGTGAGAATAAGAAGAATGAAACTGAAGAAAAGGCTATCTAATTGCGATGCAATTTTGACTAAGACTGCAAATTCTGCGGTAGTGCAATGAGCAATCGACTTACCTGCCGTACAGGCCCGTGAATGTCTTAATGTGACACGCAGGTTACACTCTGTCCCATCACCAAACCAAACCCTTCCCTTCATTGTACGAAACTACAGTACATCAGATGTCAAAACTACTGTCCAAAGACAGACATTAGCCCAGGCCACAAAAATCTATGAGCGACAAAAAAGTCACCTATAGATTGTACAACAGACAAATGCAGGTGATAACTTTAGAAAACTGCAAAAGTGCATCGGTCAGACCCACATAAAGACACAGCGAGAGAAAGAGGCCCATGAGTAACAGGGGAAAACCTGTCTGCACAGTGACACATCCTCTCCGGGCCTGCAGTCAAAAAAGACCTCAACACACAATCAGACACTTGCACGGATGCTTTTGTAATCAAAAGATGTTTTTCCAGATATAGAAAGCACGGCACTTGGTGATGGGGGGAGGGGAGGATGTAGAGAGACAGCAGACAAGATGAGAAACAGCAAGATGACACTAAACGATGGAAAAGAAGAAGAGCCTGACTCACAGAAACTTTCAAAGACGTACCTATGAGCTCAAGGTGGAGGTTGCGTCCTGCCGCGAGCAAGTCAACAGAGACGCATTACCGCGCATTGCGACCTCAACCAGAGGTGTCATCGACCAGTGGATGCCTACATGTGGGTGAGATATAGCAAGGCCACCTCTAAACTCAAGCCAGCCCCTCCCCTAAAAGCTCAGGCATCTGTGATTGGTCTTCTTCTCCTTTTTTTTCTTTCTTTCACCATTTTTTTTTCTAGAAATCAAGTGCATCTGTGCTGTTGACTTATTTGTCCATCAAAACCTTTTATGATAGCTGCAGAAATATGGACCTGGTCAAACTCAGAAAGTTGATTAATGATAATATTTCCAATTAAATAAACAGTTTATACGAGGAATACAATAAATTAGTTTTCATGTTAGAAATAGCACATCTGCTCAAACTTCTATGTTCACTTAATAGCGATACTGCCAAAGAACAAAGCTAATGATTTCCATATTTCTAAATTGTGAGTTTAATATTGTATCCGATACATTAAAACATATATGATAGAGACATACTTTAAATAATGCACAGCTCACTGTAAAAAATATTTATAGTTGCAAATTAAAAAAACTGGAATATGTTTTACATGAAAATACCGTTTTAGTCTTTCTACTTCAAAATTTCATGTTTAATTCAATGTGTTACTATTTGTAATTATTTAATGTATAATTATGAATTAACTAGCAGTTTCTGAGTGAACAAATTGTTTCAAAGCAAATCCTACACCACGTTTTTTTTTTCAATCTAATAAGATGCGTCATGGGAGTGAGGTAAATAATCACTTGTGTTTTTGTTGTTAAATAAGCTTAGATAAGCTAGATTAATAAGCTTAACAGAAGTGAATAGAAATTAATAGTGGAAACTCTTTACTAATAGGTTTGCCTTAATTTTAACTTTTTTTGCCCTTTTTGGTGCAACTGCCCACTCCTTCCCATGTTCCATACCATAATCACAAAATACCATGTTATGGAAAACAGCCAGTTTAGCATGAAAGGAAAGGCGAGATACAGAGGTAGCTGTCGCTCTGGCCACAAGTGAAACTCACAAAAAAACTGTTGAAGACTCACCTCTTCTATTATCATCTCACCTCTCTGAAGATACATCAGTGCACACATGCATCTTCCAGTACCCACGCTGATGATATAATCATATTTTTCTAAATTAATGCCATTGGTTCAAAAACAACTCAACCCACAAGATGGGAACAATTCCATGAAGAAAAAAGTGAAAGTGAAGGTGTGCAAATTAAGTAAAATCATCTTATCAGTCATTGCAGTGGAGGCTGCAGATCTTATCAGTTTATAATGTGCAATACTTCAATTTTTAACGGAAACTATCATTATAATGTGGCATTTTCTTCATACTAAGGAAAGGCCTGTCTTTCCAATGGTGTTATGGGGTCCCTAGAGGTTTACAGTAAGAATTATCTATCTCTGCAGAAGATGAAAAGGCCAAAATAATTAATCAATAAAAAAAATAAAAAAATAAAAAAACAGACAACCACAATTGCTTACAGTCGAGTCATCATGAATTATAATTTTGACCTAACTTAATTTCTGTCTCTCAAAATTGTCATTTGGCCTAAGAAGACGTGAATATAGCTCACATGTTATAGACTACTTTTGTGGGCCTACTTTTGCTTATTTATTCCCTGAGGTTTGTAATGAGGTGACACATGAGTCAGAGTTGTCTTTTTTACGAACCTTTAGAATATTTAGCAACTTTTGTTACCTTGTTTTCAATGGTTGAACTTGAATAGTTCAATTTCTTTTATGAAAACATGAAAAATATAATAAACATAATAGTGATTTTTTTTTGTGCAAAATACTCTCAAATGTTTTAATGTTTAATAGTTTACAATCTGTTGGTCAGTTCACATGCGTTCCCGCTTCGCTTGAACTGAGGCAATACCGTCACGCTACATTAAATAGCGACAAATGGTAGGCTATTTCCTGTTTAATATTTCGTAATAGAACTTACAGAATTTGAAAGCTGAGACTTTTCATATTAAAAGTAACCGGCTCGGTCATGTCTGTCGACACGTTGTTGTCCTCTTTGCTCCGCATGTTTTCACTGCGTGAGAAAATGGACGTGTATGAGAGCGTTAGAACCAGACGGTTAGAACAGTGTCTGTTGCGTGTTCCGGGTTCAGACAGCCCTGCAAGCTATAAAACGAATCGGTTACCTAACGTAACCTCGGTTCTCTCTAGATGAGGGAACGAGTATTGCGTAAGCTAGCTTACGCTGCGGGGAAAGATTCATCTTTTCTGAGAAATTGAAGCCAAAAATTATCCTATAATTTTGTATCCATTGTCAACAGTTCAGCTGCAGCAGACCATGAGCAGGCTAGCTAGCAGCTCATTGGCTCGCTCACAGGGAACTGCTTAAGCCTATGAGGAGACACGAATGAACTCTCGGCCAATGAGAGTCTGACCTGCTCTCATTGCGTCAGAGCCCGCCGAAACGGGCGTGGCCAGAGAGTATAAATTCGCCTCTCAGGCTGTAAATTCTGGTTTTCATAGAATGAAGCGAGAACGCTAGTAGCACAAGCACGGCCAGGAACGCAATACTCGTTCCCTCATCTAGAGAGAACCGAGGTTACGTTAGGTAACCGATTCGTTCTCTTACGAGAGGTTCTCTCGTATTGCGTAAGCTAGCTTACGCTACGGGAACACCTGGTCAACGCCGTGCGTGCTAAGCATCCACTATGAGTCCCAGGGGGGACCCCGGGGAACCCTTATGAGTGGGAATAAAATACAAAAAAATGTACAAAAAATGTACATGTGACAACGGCCAGCGGAGCGGGCCGGGGATTTGTGAATTACATAAGCACATAATAAGGAGGGACAGAACGAGACCGGTCTGCGTGAATAACTCCCTATAGTGCAGCTCAACCAGAAGAGCTGTGACATACTTCCAGATAGTAAAATCTGATAAAGGTGGAGGGGGAAGCCCATCCCGCTGCCACACAAATATCATGAATGGAAATTCCGCTGGACCAAGCCCACGATGAGGCCATGCCTCTAGTGGAATGGGCCCTGATGCCCAGAGGGCATGGCAGGTCTTTTGACGCGTATGCGGCTGCAATGGCATCAACTATCCATCTGGACAGAGTCTGTTTTGAGGCGGCCAACCCCTTGGTGCGCCCACCGAACGAAACAAAAAGCTGCTCAGCTCGTCTGACCGGAGCAGTGCGAGTAAAGTATAATCTCAGGGCCCTGACCGGACACAGGAGATTAGAGTCAGATTCGCTATCGGATGCAGGCAGAGCCGATAGAGAAATAACTTGTGCCCTGAAAGGGGTACCAATCGCTTTTGGGACATAACCATGTCTAGGTTTGAGAACGACTAAGGAGTCATTGGGCCCAAACTCCAGACAGGAAGCGCTGCTGGACAGCGCGTGAAGGTCCCCCACACGCTTCACTGACGCGAGCGCGAGCAGGAAGATAGTCTTGAGCGAAAGGTATTTGAGCTCCACGGTGTTTAACGGTTCGAATGGGGGGGCTTTCATAGCTTCGAGAACTATGGAAAGGTCCCAAATCGGCACCGACGGGGGGCGTGAGGGGTTCATCCTTCTAGCTCCCCTGAGGAAGCGGATGACTAAGCCATCTTTGCCCAGTGACTGGCCACGCCGGGGTTCAGCGAACGCCGCGACGGCTGCCACATACACCTTGAGAGTGGAAGGGGACCTGCCCTTATCCAGCATCTCTTGGAGAAAAACTAGCAAGGAAGGAACCTCGCATGACCGTGGGTCCAAGTTTCTGTCGGTGCACCACTTAGAGAACACAGACCATTTAGACGCATAGAGCCTTCTAGTAGAAGCCGCTCTAGCCTGCATGATCGTGTTTAACACTCCTTCTGGCAAAGCAACGGGTAGTCGTTGATCACCCACGCATGAAGCGCCCAGCGCTCTGGGTGGGGATGCCAGATCGTGCCGCGAGCTTGGGAGAGGAGATCTGTTCTGACTGGAATGGGCCACGGGGCTGTCTGTGACAGCTGAGTGAGCTCCTGAAACCAAGTCTGACCTTCCCAACGCGGGGCTATGAGGAGCACCGAGTGGCGTGTTTCCCTGATTCTCTGAAGCACCTGTGGTAGCAGAGACACCGGAGGGAATGCATAAAGCGGGCGGCTGGGCCAGGTCTGGGCTAGCGCGTCCTCGCGTTTTGAGAAAAATATTGGGCAGTGGGTGTTTTCTTCTGAGGCGAAGAGGTCCACCTCTGCTCTGCCGAATATTCGCCACAGCTTTTGGACTGTAAGAGTGTGCAGGGACCATTCGCCAGGGGGAATGGGGTTCCTGGACAGACTGTCTGGACCGTCGTTCAGATGGCCCGGCACGTGCGTCGCTCTGAGCGAGAGCAGGTGACACTGGGACCAAACTAGGATGCGTTCTGTCAGCCGGAAGAGAATTCTGGATCTGACGCCGCCCTGAGGGTTTTAGATAGGAGACCACAGCCATATTGTCCTAACGGATCAGCACATGGTGACCGTGAATGCGCGGCAGAAAGCGCGTGAGCGCGTTCTCGACCGCCAGCATCTCCAAACAGTTTATGTGGAGGAGACTCTCCTGAGCTGACCAGGGGCCGAAGGCCGGTGAGCCCTCGCAGACCGCACCCCAACCCATGTTGGATGCGTCTGTCGAAAATGACTTTTCGGCGAGAAAAGGTCCCCAAGGAAACGGCCCGCTGAAACCATTCTGTCATGGTCCATGGCTGCAGAGCTGTGATACAGGTCTGCGTTACCTTTATCAGC